CCCTCTGCTCGGGGGTTTCAGGGCTCAGACTGTGAAGACAGAGCCACAGGGGGTGGAGGGAGAAGGTGCGCACACGTGGACACTGGTAGGCATCATACAGGCCATCACATAGGTGTGTACATGCTTCCAGACACAGTCACATGCCACCAGCTACACATCGTCACAGAGTGTATACACTGCCACACCAGCAGGCACACAGGTCTACTGTGTAGTCATGCATGCCATCCCACACATGTACACCCCACCATACTTGTGTATACACCACCACCACTGTACATACCATTAGGGGCACAGGCATACAGCATCAGACAGTCGTGTATAAAGGTAGATACACTGCCACACATGTTCACCTGGTCACACAGCACGCTCAGACCCAGGCTGGCACACAGGTGACCAGCACCGTGGAGCTCCCAAGGACTCCATATTGGGGCTGTCACAGGCCCACCCGGGACACAGGGAGCCCTGGGGAGATCGACACTGGACGCTCCCACACAGATGCTTATGGCCTGTTCTGTTCCAGGTGCCCTGGTGAGCCCAGGCCTCGCCTTCCTGGTGTCACTCACTGCCCACTGCTCTCATCCCCAGGCCGAGGGTGCCACCCAGGGAGGGCTGGATGTCAGCAGGGCCAACCTGTGGGCCAGGTGAGTGCAGGTTCGGAGTCACAATCAAGTTTCCCCAGCAGATTCCTTGGCAGGCCTGGGTGGGGGTGAGAAGGAGGGACCATCTCCAGGGTCTGCATTTGACGGCCCAGGCATGGCCAAGGCAGGACTGACTCCCGGCTCCTATATGGGGGGCCTGGCCCTGCCTGCCCAGGTCACTCGCTGGAGATGGCTCAGGGCAGCTGGTGTCCTTCATCAGAGTCACACCCACGTGGCTGGGACAGGACCCCAGGCCATCGCAGCTGGCTGGGGCCCGGGTCCCCCACCTCGGCCCAGCAGACAATCACTTTTTTTTTTTCTGGGGGGTGCCGCGGCATGTGGCATGTGGGATCTTAGTTCCCCAACCAGGGATCAAACCCACACACCGCTTGCATTGGAAGCACGGAGTCTTAACCACTGGACTGCCAGGGAAGTCCCGACAATCACTTCTTGTCCTGAGGCCTCTCAGCTTTCTTCTTTCCGCCCCAAGCTTTGCTGCCCTCTCAGGTCCCAAACTGAGACTCTGTCCTGGTGGGGGTTGGAGGCCACTGATCTGCCATCAATCAACTGATCAGTCAGCTGACTGATCAGGCAGGACTGGAGGCCAAACTGGACCAGCTGGGCCCAGGCTAAGGTCTCATGAGACCTGACCCTCCCCTGTGCACGGATCTTACTAGATTCACATCACGAGGAAGGCCTGGCTGCAGTCACCCAACAGGTGCCCTTCAAAACCTCAGCCATCGCTGGGACCTCAGAGTCCCAAGCTCTGGAACTGGGCCTCAACCAGACCCTGAGTCTGGACAGGGGCCACTTTTAAGCCCTGCTAATCTCAGAGCCCAGCACCAACAGGGCGCCCTCAGGGGAAATGTGTGGTATGCATATGCTGGCAGCCAGAGCCTTGCTGTCCACACCTCCTGTGTCTCTCACCCCCACCCTGTGTTGAGGAGTCTGACCTCCACCCAAATGCTGCAGTCTGGGGCCCCTAGTCCCTCTGCCCCTCACTGTCTATCTCCTTTCTGTCCAGTGCCAACACCTCCCTCCTGCAAGGCTTCTGGTGCCAGCCAGCCAGTCAGCTAGCCCGGGACCAGCTTGCCGCTCTGATCAGGAGGATGGAGACGCAGCATGTCCTCCTCGGAGCCTGGCAGGTCAGCGGCGGGCCCC